TGCCAGCATGGGGAGGCGGAGATGAGGCCATGCGGACCTTCGTTACACCAACAAGGGCAGCTTGCACTAGCTTTGCATATTGCTCCGTCGAACCACTAATTGGCGCGATTGCCTGATGGGCTGGAGCATTAACGACTGTCTGTCGTGCTGTTTTCATCATTTTGTTCTATGAGGTGCTCGGAGTGAGGCGAAGAGACTGAGCCAAGCCGAAATCGCGAGTGTAGAATTGGAAATTTATGGACAATGATGATGTGGGATTTGTGTCTGACTCAGTCGGAGGGCAAGAAAAATACTCATCCACACAGCGGAGTTCAAAATGGTACCATCCCTTCCCGGTTGTTTCTCGACTTTTTGAGATTCGGAGAAGAAATTACACTAGAAATTCAATTTGAAATCATTCGAAAAACTCGTTTGGACCAAAAAGAATTTCTTTGCTGTGGCGAAGCCCAAAACCACGAGTACACCTTGCTCCCCTCTCTCACCTCCTGTCGGTCTTGCCGTTGCCGCGCTTGCCGGCGTAGAGATGCTTGGGCTTGAGGTTGTAGATGTGTCTGTCGGCCTCTCCCTTTCGTCCGTCCTTGTTCATGGTCCTCTGCGCCTTCTTGGCCTTGACCTCGACCTCCAGCTTCTGTCGCTTGTCTCGCAGACCCTCCTCCTGCGGGGTCTTGCTCCTGCCTCGCGACTTGGACCGCTCCACCGACGGGCTCTCGGAGCGCGACCTCTTCCGGCCTCGGCTCATGCTGCGGGCTCGGTCCACCGCAGCGCTCGGGTTGATGCCCATGTCCTTCAAATGGTCCTCGAACGCGCCCAGTTGCAGCTAAAGAAGAAGAAGAAGAAGCGTTAGTGCATCGATGCGGCGAACCATGATGCAGAGAGAGAGAGAGAAAGAGAAAACAAGAAGAAGAGAGAAGAGAGGTGGGATGTACCCTGCCGGTTCTGGAGGCCTGGGTGAGGGTGGGTCGGGATTTGTTGCCCTTTCTGAGGGCGTGCTCCATGCGGGTGAGGGCGTCCTTGTTCCTCAGCTCCTTGAGGAGGTTGATCTCGTCTTCGGTCAGGCGGAAGGGCTGCTCCTCCTCCATCTCGCCCGCTTCATTCTCCAGTCGCTCCTCCTCTTCCTTCTCCAGCTGTCGCAGCTTGACCAGGATGTCGGGATCGATGTAGTCGAACACGTTCATGCCGTTCATGATCTCCGGGATGTTGTCGAACTTCCACTCGTCGTTGGCCAGCATGAACTGGTTCCTCAGGTCGGGGCCGAACACGGTGGGGTCCCAGTCGGGGTCCTCGGCCATGAGCCACCTGTTCTTGTGTACGAGGTCGATGGCGTTGGAGGTCACCTCACG